AAAGTTTTTGACCATTCAGAGCTGTTATTGACATTTGCCAGCACTACAACAATAGCAAACTCTTCGATGCTTTTGGCTTTGGAGCCATTCTTCCTCCAGAAACACACGTATCTCCAATATTTTCCTTGGTAAATCTTAGCCCATGTCTGGGTTTTCATTTGTTATTAGCTTTGATCTTTGAATTTCCTCCTTTAGAATTTTGATGCTAACCCAGCTGTAGTAGGATTACCAGGCGTAATGGAAGTATACCGGTTTGCTCTTAATCGAGTGAAGCTCTACGGACCAACCAATTTCGCTCCGGTAATTAAGGAGGTTGCCAAGAAGGCTGCGAGATTCAAACTCGATGGTGCTAGATATGAGGTAGAAGGTAGAATAAAATCGGGCGATTTTTGATTTAAATTTTCTATGCAGGTGCTATTGATAATAACTGACGGTGCTATATCGGATCTGGCGGCCACAAAAGCGGCAATTATTGCGGTAAGATACATATAAAGTTTTTTTTTCGAATTTTGGATAGGTGCTGTAATCAAATGGGAGTATTTGAGCAAGATTTTCCAAGTTCTCGAACTCAAAAAGACAATCTAAATTCTCCGGCACATATATGTGATTAGGATGTATATAACTCATAAGTTGCACGTCAACGGAAAATCTTAATCATCATGTTCCACGGGAAGGAAGCTTTTTTGGTGTTATTTCTGATCTCCTTGAGAAAGAAAGTGCTAGCTATATACCTTCAAATTGATATTGATGTGATGTTGTTCATTGAATGTGATTTTGGATATTGAAACCCTTTGATACCAGAATTTAGGCTTCATCTCTTCCACTTTCTATCATCATTGTTGGCGTTGGAAATGATGAGTTTGAGAATATGAATGAACTAGATTCGGATGACCGTCTGCTTTCTCATGCTGGACGAACAGCTCAGCGAGATATTGTTCAGGTTGCTAGAAAATTTGATCTTTTTATATCATTTTGATCCTTTAAATTTAGTTTGTTCCTCTGAGAAACTTCATCCGCCAAGATTGCATTGGTGCAGAAAGCGAGAGGGTTATGGGTCTTCTAGCCAAGGAGGTCTTGGCGGAGATTCCTCTCCAGTTGACGTCTTTCATGAAGATGAGAAATATCCTTCCTCGTTCCCCGGATGATCCCTTCCCGAAGGATCCTGAAGCAGGTATGTAACTGCAAAATCCAATTAGATGCACCTTCAATGATTAGCTCGTTTTGTTGCAGTGTATCAACCTAGTATGCCCCCGAACTACCCATACCCAGCCCAACCTCCACAGACAAGTAATCAGCAATCACCATATCACGGAATTCAAGGTGCCCAAGTTCCTCAATCTAGTACCCAGGAACCACAATATCCTGGTGTTCATCCTCAACCATACCCAACACTTCCTCAAGTAAGTACCTTTGTTTTCTCGTATCGTAATGATTTATA